TAGATTACGTCAACCCCAAAAACCTCCCTGTTACTACTGCAACTCTCAGACAATTTAATCCCTGCTGTTTACTCTCTGTCACGCCTTACATAACACAGAGTATTCCCAGGCAGTGGCAGTGACTTGGATTTCTGTCAATCTTGCAGAATATGATTGTTTATCAGGGCCTTACTTTGTTTTGTAAATGCATGAAATGCATAAAATATTTCTGACATTAGCTAAAAACAAAGTGAGAGAATAACCATGTCTTTTATTTCTGGGTGTTTTTTTTTGTTTTTTGTTTTTTTACAGTTGAGAATCCTGCTTGTTCATTTAACCCCAGCTGACGAACACACACAAACTGTTTATTGTGACATTTCAAATCGACATCTGCATTGCATTTAAATTACTTTATTTCAGTTAGAACCCTCTTCACATTTTAGCCTTTTTTAGGAATTTAACAACCTGTAACTTGACATGTAGCCATTGTTATTGCAGCTGGCTCTAGAGAGCTGGTCAGTGAAAATGCAATGCAGAAACAAGCCCCACCTGTGATCTTAGCACTGCAATCGGTACTCTGTGATTTGATTACATAAGCCCCTTTTCCACGGCACGGTACTCGCCTCGACTCTACTCGCCTTTTTTGGTTTTCCATTGAAGAAAAGTTGTACCTGTACCTGCCTCCAGGAACTTTCTTTAGTATCGCCTCCGTCGAGGTTCCAAGCGAGCTGAGACGATACTAAAATGTGACGTGAAAACACAGCAGACTGCTGATTGGTCAGAGAGAATTGTCACTGTTGCGCGCACCAGACAGAGGCCAGCAACAGAAAGTTTGATATTTAACAATTTTCATACGTTATTTCATCACTAAATCCTCTGGTCCCACCGTCACACAGAGCGCTGCAGCAACAACGGCAGAGGAAAACACAGCTGGAAGGTTTTCATACCTCTAATCTGTCTTTACATTCTCAGTAATGTTGAAACATTTTAACTTAAATCAAGAGACAGCTGTGTGGGTCACTGGTGTGTGTGTGTCGCATTGAAAATTACATCGCGGCAGTCGTGTGTGGCCGTAAATGTAAACAAAAATACCTTTGAAGATACAAAACAGTACTAAAGAACATGTAAAATATAGATGCTAATGTTATGATTTCCCCCATAGTTTGCTAAGGAACGCTAAGTGACCAAGACCAAGTCCTACAGATTCTTTAAAGGTCAGGTTCTGGGAAACTTCAGGTTACAAGTCATTCAAGGTATAATGTGTAATTCCTGGCCACATGCTCCAAACAAATAGAAGGCAGCATTTCACCTTCTTGGATCGGGGGAATTGAAACTCCAGGAGAACAGTGGGGAGAGGGACAGAGATGCAGACATATCCCATAATTAATCAGAATCAGATCATTTAGATCATATATAATATGTAATTTAAATCATTTATTGTAGATTATCAGTATTTTCTTGCCAGATTCACTCGTGGCTGTACCTACACCGGCTCGCTCTTTCTGAACAACATCGGCGGTGAAAGGAACACGATGTCAAGGAGCGAGAAGGAGAGCAGCTCGAGCAGCAGCAGTGATCTTCAGGCCCTCTGGGCAGCTCTACTTCGTCGTCCTCTCATGTTGGACTGAGGGCAGACTGGACGCTACAGTGACTCACCATCACCTCACGAGCCACAAGTGATATTATAAGACCGGATGGGCCGATGCTAGCTGGTTAGCAAGCTAACTTTGGTAGACTCCTTCACATTCATTCATGTTCATCCGTTTCTTGAATGTTTTTAACTAAAACATCAGGGCAAATCTTACACATTGTACCTTTACTTTAGGCCAGTGATTCACTACCTTCTGACGGAACAGAGACACATTCATAGATTATATTTTAAATATTCACTTTGTAGCTGAAAAGAAACAAAGCTATAATGTCCGTTCAGCTGTGATCTATGGGTGTCAGCTGCCAACACAGCCGTTCATCTCAGTTTTTCTTTTTGAAATATAGAGCACTCAGTTACTATTAGAATTTATTTCCTACGTGCAGTACACCCCCTTAAGACTCACATATAGTACATTCATGCATTTAATTTCCAGAGAGGTCAGAGGTGAGCGGTTCCCTGCAGCAGCCGGAGGTTCAGCAGCTTCCCCAAGGACACTGTGATGGTGGAGCACATTAACTTTCTGAGAGGATTGACCCTCTGACCTCTGGGTGAACGGTCTGTCAGTAATGTGTTTCCACCACAAAAATTGTATAACCGACAGCCCTGCTAACAAACAGAACGTTCCATGAAATATGTTTCATGTATAAGAATGAAGTTTGGTACAAGAGTGAAAGTCTTTCTAATTAGCTTTGTGCTCTGATAATTTATTTTACTGGTGCATGATGTCAATATTTGCCTGAAGCCCTTTTAAAATGGTCAAACTAATGAATGTAAAAGGCGCGTTCCTCCCCTGCGTGTAACTACTTTTAAATATACAGAGATGGTATGAATAAAGACAGTGAGTCTCATCCAAGAACCTTTTTGTATTCTCATCCTAAACCTGTAGTACTTTATTCTCTGTGTGCCTTTGTGAGAGTGTTCCAAGTCAGATTCAGTCAACGTTACTGCACAACTTGTCACAAATTGCTTGTTTCAGCCTGATGAATACCACCTGTTCATGTATTTTGAGCATTAACATAATCAATGCTCCTTTCGTGGGCATGTTTTAATCTCAAAAATGTCACAATGTCAGAGTAGAAACAATAACTTCACACTGCAGAGTGTCAATGCCTACTGTCAGAAATCAGCAGACAAACACAAAACTATTTTAGCAGTGATAGTAAAGGTATTAGGGGTATTAGCAGACCCAGAAAAATGAGGTTAGATGTTAGATGTCAAAAAATGTTTTGCATTTTGTGATCTACGACTAAAATGAAGTCAAAGTAAAGCGAAGTAGAGATGGATGAAAGATGTCACTATGTTACACTGTTGGATGTAATAAAAGAGGATGTTCACCTGGACAGCAACCAGCATAAACAGCCTGAGGCGGCTGCTGGAGTGTGGAAATGACAGCTACTGAACTGCAAGTTGCCATGCCAAAATCCTTGTTCTAATAAAATATTCTTTAAAAGGTTAACACCTCATTAAGTTTTGTTTGTGCCAAAGAGAATAATCTAAATTCAACAAAATTGGTCAATGGTTTCTTAAATCACTTTTAAGGTACCCTGTGGAGTTTGTGAGCACTAACAGCGCTGGAGGTGCAATGCACATTCTTGCTAATGATTTAATGCTATCACCACATGCCACTGATAGAAAGGTGATAGTAATGCATCAAGAAAAGTAGCAGTGCGTCAGCAAAATGCAGAGAAGAAAGCCGCAAGCTAGCAAGCATGGATGTACTGTAAACAAAGTAGATCTGAATGTTTCATAAGGAAGGAAATTCATTCAACACATTTGTTAGGCCCCAAGGACACGCACAATGCTCATTTTGCAATTATTAGGGGAGAAACACTAAATATAAACATGAAAGTTGTGTTTGTTTACGCCACAGAGCACCTTTAGAGCGAATTTGTTTACTCAAGGGATTCTTGTACGGGGCCCAGTGTGTTGTAATTGTTAAGCAGTGTGACACAAATAGTCCCATAACCACAAAGCTTTAGCATGATGTGCCATTTTTAAATGGGCGGCAACTGCAATTGCATTTGCAGTTGTTTTACAGTTTACAGTCAAATGGCTACAGGCAAGTATTCATAGGCTATAGGCTTTCACTCCATCACAAAGCAGCTGAGGACTGAAGAAGCACGTTGTCATTCAAACATTTTGTCATTATACTGCAGTTTCACCGACAGGATCAGTGGAGACAAAAAATTAACAGACATGTAGTTTTAAAAGAACACTAGTTTTAACATTCAGCGTCATAAATGGGTTATGGTCTGGACACGACCTGTTTAAAAGTGCTATGTGTAGTATTTTGTGTTTGTCAGAGTTTCCTGTCCCGAGGCAGACTATGCTCCTTCCTTGTTTCCCCACCCATTATTCAGTCTCTGTTTGTTCTGAAGAAGGATGAGAGACAATAATAAATAATAAAACCACACTATAGCTTAAACTGCAGTTCCTCTAATGGCCACAAGATGTTGGCTTTACAAACATATCCTGACGTTACACCTGGGCTAGCATCTGTTCCTCTAACCTCTCACTGAGTTTTTCTTTTGTATCTCTTCCTGAAAAAGTGTCATATACCTGAACACTTAAAGTAAGCGACATTCACTACCTCTAAATGTCACACTAGAGCATAGCAAAACAAATGGGCACTACAACCCACCAGACTCCGTTGAGAAAAACAGTAATTTTACCTCACAGATCATCATATAATACACTTCATTTAAACTAGACAGAAAGAAAGTAAAACCAAATTTGTTAGTCTTTCCACTGTTACAACAATCCCCGCCTGTAGTTCGGCCTCAATAAATCCTTAATTTGCCACGTTACATGAGAAAAGAAACACCCGTTGTATCGCTTTACTCAAGGACAACAGTTTCACAGCAACGGACTCACATGCATTAACATGCACGCAGCTAACAATGCAAAGAACATAGAAGTTTGGATGACAACACACACACAGAGAGGGGGTGTGACGTCATTCTCTGCCCAAAACGCCATTACTATATTTTCAAATAGTTGTTTGCTGCTATATTAAAGTTCAAAATCTCTATATAAAGGACCTTTAGCAAAGTTAAACATCTATTTATTTGTCAACACACACACACACACAAGAAAATACAGCTCCAATTCAGCTTTTACAGCGTATCAGCATGCATAATACCTCATTACACTCGTTACACGGTTTGTCCCTTATCCAAAATATCCAGATACAATCTCTTCTAATTTGTCATCATGTAATCTCCATCATCTAAAATATAACACACCCTAATTTAGTTCAGTACTTCGGGGGTTTTGCTGCTGTGGCCTCACCTGGTCTGGTATGATCAGTAGTTCATGGTAGCTAATGCTAGCCAACTTAAGGTAGATATTGAGTAACTGACATGAGTGAGTCTGTTTGGTGACTTTATTGGTTTTCTACTTGTGCTACTGTTACGCTACTCTTCAGCATTCACCATTATATTGTAACTGCCACTTAAGGCTACAGTTTGCCAGCACAAACACTTAAAACTGATAATATCAATGTCAAAATACTACACATAGCACCTTGTAATATGCAGGAGAACAACTGATTTCCATCCACGAAGATCTCAGTCAAAGATCTCAGTCTGGTTTTCACACTTTATAATGATTTTTATTTAATATATAAAGAATATATCCATCTAACTTTATTAATTTCACTGACGTTTCCTGTCTCTTCCAGTCAAGTTAATAATCTTCTTAAAACTGAAAATATGGGCGGCTGTGCTTTCGCGTTTGGTGGCAGAAACGGTGGCCAGTTCAGACCTAAAGGAGCAGTGCGCCTGATGTGGCCACGCCCCCCACATGACACTCCTATTCCCATGGATGGCTCAGCACTGTTCCTCCCCCAGCGAGTCTGTGTTCTCCCCCAGGTCCATGGAGGCTGACATGGCTCTAATTTTGCCCCGTCCAGGACCGGGACCGGGACCCGGACCCGGTCCTGGGCAAGGACCCGAGCCGAGCCCGGCTCTGGTTCCGCTGTGGCCGGGGTAGACCTCCACGGTGCTGGAGATGGACTGGAGGGAGCGGTCCCGAAAGTAGTGGAAAGCCTCCTGGTCCAGGTAGTTCTGCTCCTCGCGCAGGCCCTGCTCAAACAGCTTTCGTTTGTGTCTGAACTCGATCACCGTCTTGGTGTAGGAGTTGAGGGTGGTGACGGAGGCGGCCATGCAGCAAGTGAAGGAACCCCAGGCCATGCTGGTTGGAGAGAGACACAGACACATGTTGTTGATGAGTGGGTGAGAAGGAAGGGAAGAAGAAGAAGAAGAAGCAGTGAATCTCTTTACTCATCCTGATGTACTTTGCCACACTAGGTGTGGCTCTGTGGATGGTAATGTCTTTGTTCGATTTGTTCAATACCTGCAGAACTAATGACAATCAGTCAGTCTCAGGTTTACTTTGTGTTTTATGATAATTAGCACATGTTAATGATATTTGACATTGAGCTCATTTGTAGCTAAAAATGTTGCTATAGTTTGTTTTGATGCCTGACATTGAGCCTGATGGGTGCCAGTAAAAAGGTCAGGGGTTACTAAAATGAGTGTGTTAAAGGCTAATTTCCAATAATCTCTTGAAAATTAGTGATAGAAAAACAGTGACAAGCACAACTGAGGAATGTCTTAAATTATTGTGTCAAATTTTATCCCTAACCTGATCCTTAATATTTGATTGGACAAGTCATCTCTGATTGGCATCTTGGTTTCAAATGATCAGACAAACGTCCATGCTTATCTAGCCAGTGTTGGATGGCTAACAGACAAAATGACCAACGTTGTTGTTGAGGTCCTCTGAGAGGGAGTGGTGACGAGCCAGATGGAGAAATGAGACATCTGTGAAACATCTGTGGTGATTCAGTGAATACTCTGAGCTCTTCAGCCTCGGGCTCTGCTCCAATTAAAGTTAGCAGGTACATACCTGATGTGCTTCTAACTGAGAGAGTGTCTGAAGGGAATAGGTGTGATATTAGGTGGTTAAGAGGGAAGCTGATAGTCCCTCTGTGCAGAGTCAATCACTACGTGCCAAGAAAGATGACAAGCGAAGAACCATAAACATGCTGAGCAAGTAAACCGTGAAGAGAGACAAGAACAAAACCCCAAAATGAAGCAAAATGACTGATGCGACCCATCACTCGTTATCTCGCAAAAAAGGAATCCAAACTATGGTAGGATTTCCTTTTAGTTGGTTTAATGTCACAGCCATCAGTCACCTTTTCTCTTTGGTTCATAATTTAAACATAGAGTGTTTAAAGTAAAACACAATAAAAAGAATAAAAATAAAGTACCAACTCAGTAAAACAACCAAAATATACACTGAACAAAATAAATAAACGCAACTCTTTTGTTTTTGCCCCCATTCATCATGAGCTGAACTCAAAGACTTTTTCTATGTAAAAGGCCTATTTCTCTCAAATATTGTTCACAGATCTGTGAAAATCTGTGTTAGTGAGCACTTCTCCTTTGCAGAGATAATCATTCCACCTCACAGGTGTGGCATATCAAGATGCTGATCAGACAGCATGGGTATTGCACAGGTGTGCCTTGAGAAATGACGAGAAATGAGAGCAAGAGAGAGAGATAAGGACATTGGAAATCAGCATGCACTCCTTCTCTCTAATAAATAAAGTAATAATTTGTTATTCAGTGAAACACAATACACTGAATTGAACCTAACTGATATTTATTCTTGATATTTATATTGGCAGCTTTAGGACCAAAATATTTATATATCGAATATGTATATATATCTAAAATGCCATATGGATCAAAGATACATGGCAAATAAAATAGGAAAATTACGGTATTTTTCTACCTGGGTCTTATTATCCTGTTCCATTTAGCGCCTCCTCCTGCACTCCGTTTCTAATAAATACGGACAGCCATCAAAGTGAAAGGAATCAAGACCGTCCTCAAAGTCCACTGGATAACCATCTGTGGCACCTGGTTTTATTGAATCTCCATAGAAGATGTTTATGTAAGCTAACATTCTTTCATATGGCGTTACTTTTCTAGCATCTACACATGGTAAATCAACAGTGACCCACAACCTCACACATGCAAAACAAACATATAACATATGCAGTTACTTACACTTGTTAATGCAGGGGTCTGTGCTTACTCTCGCTCGGACTTAAGCATTTGAAATGATTTATGTAAAACTGAAGTGTTAAATCTCCATAACAGGGGTGCAAAGTTATTATAACCCACAGTCAAAATTATGAGAATAAGATCTAGGTTAAAGCTGTAATTTCCCTTTAAAGCAGCTAATGAAATGTGGATTTTTTAAGGATTAAAACATATGATGGGAATCCCAGCCTGGTACAAACTTACTGTTTTCACTTCACCCTCGGCTGAAATGAAGCTTAAGCTCAGTTTCTAAAGAGCTTTAAACAGAACATGTGAGCGTGCACGTGTTCCCTTTAATCGCCCTCAGAGCAGAGCACATTCACGCTTTTTTATTTGTCCTGAAGGAGCTTTTTGGCCTTCTGCTCCAGTAGAGGTTAATCATTCCTGCTGAAATTACTCCACTTTAAGGACCTGAATGGCTCCCTCATGGTGTTAAATGAGAGGCCTTTACTTGAATGACTGGCAGAGAAAATGTGGGGGGTGATTGTTGCAGATATTTCGAACTTATTCTTGTTTTCCCATCTTAAAATGCTTGTTTATGACTCCTTATGGTTCTCTGTATTTTACTGTTTTATGATGCTTTTTATAATCCATGTGTAATGCTGGCTTTGGTAACTAAATAAACATTATTATTGGGGTTCAAAGTACATTGGTGACCTTGGAAACAGCAGTAACAAAAACAATGTCACCACAAGGTCAATTTAGTAGCTGTTCTGGAGCCTTTGAGCGTCTCACATGATCTTCACCTGCCTGTTCTCAAACTCAAGAATGAATTTGAAGGTGTGAGAGGGATTGTCTGGATGCTGTTCTTCTCTGAGAATCTCTGTCCTTGATCCACAAATGAGCAAAGTGAACAGCTGCAGCTCGGCTCTGCCTTCGAGCAGAGAGAAGGGAAGGTCAAGGTGCGTCTTGTCTGGCTAATTATCCCAGAAGCAACAGTCCCGTCGCTCCCTGTGCTGAAACTCTCCTACAGTACATGCCTCCAGCAACATCCTGAAGAGATGATTTATGATTGACTAAATGGAGGGATGACGGGTCTGGTTGTTCCACATGTTGTGTGTGTGTGATCGACACCATTGGTCTTTTATTGAAACACTGGATAACAATGTATTAAGTCATTTTAAAACATGTGAAACATTCATCCTTTATTAATAATGCAGGAGTCTATTAACACAATACGTTACAAAATTAGGGCATATTTGTGTGTGGGGAGGCTTGTTTCACTACATTTGTGGGGTCCAAAAACCTAGAATTCCACTAAACTTGTGAGGTCCGACAGCTTTGCAGGGACCAAAATGCTGGACCCCACAAGTTTAAAGGGCTGTCTGAGGGTTCAGACTTGATTTTAGGGTTCAGGCTACAATTGGGTTAAGGTTGGGCATGTAGGTTAAGGTTTGGGTAAAGGGCTAGGATCATTATGTCAGTGACAAGTCCCTACAAAGAGGCTGTGTGTGGGTGCGTGTGCAGACTAACCAGAAGGACCAGCCGTAGTCCCAGCTGTGAGGCCTCCAGTCTTCAGGACCCAGACTGACTGTGATCTGGAACACCTGAGTGTACATCATGTGGGCCACCATACCCAGAAGACCTGCAACACACAAACACACACACGGTCATTACAAGCAACATTTTCTATGTCAAACGAATCCCAAAAAGGCCCAAATGAACTATTAACTATTAATAATAATTCTCTATGTATTCATGAAGCAAAGTCACGCTGCCCCAGGTGACTTAAGTTGCATTTAATCGCATCTTTCCATTGACTTTGTATGCAATCACAGCTTGTTTACCAATAAACTTCTTTCAATAACTGATATAATTCTACAGTTGGATTATAATTAATAATTATGTTTTTTTAGCTGTGTTAGCTGCAATGTCAATCCTCCACGTCTATGGGATGGGATGAAATTTAGGTCTAATGACATTCCTATCAGCCTCAGCTGTACTTTGTGTTTTCTGATAATTAGCTAATGTTAGCATGCTAACATGCTAAACTAAGATGGTGAACATGGTAAGCATTACATCTGTAAACATCAGCATGTTAGCATTATCGTTGTGAGCATGTTAGCATGCTGATGTTAGCATTTAGCTAAAAGCACTGCAATCCCCTATGTACAGCCTCACATAGCTGTTAGCATGACTGTGTACTCTCTCGTTCATTTGTGCTTACTGTTAAGACTGAATTTTTGGAAATTGCCATTTTCGCACCGTCTGCATGGGGACCTGTAAAAGCCTATTGAGATACATTTGTAATATTGATTTGCCTTTTCTGCCTAAATTAAATTAGCTGGAAGTGGCTCTGTGATCTTGTGTCTAGCCGTCAGCTAGCAAGGGTCATTAGCAAACAGCTCGGACTAAAAGTCTTGACAACTAGAGAATGAACTGCCACAGAATTTCTTAAGAATATTCATGTTCCCAAGATGATGAATGAAAATGACTTTTCCTCTGTCACATCATCAGGTCAGAATTGTCCCTTCACCATGGTAAGGTACAGTATATCTCAAAAACAAATCACTGGATTTCCATAACTGCTGCAGTAGATACTCACGCTCCCCAGAGGATTAACCCTTCTGATTTTAATGGTCCTTTGACCTTTCCTCTAGCACCACAGTCAGGGCAAAAGTTCACTTTTATCCCCACTAATGGCAAGGCTCTAAAACAGAGAATCTGCATCTTCAGTATGTTTTCCTGTTCTTGCATAACAACCCTCAGCACAAGATAATCAGCCATGATAATTACCATTAACAAAACAATAGTAAATCAAATTACCTCTAAGTTGCAGCTGAACATAATATCAGTAATAAATCAAAACACATGTAACTATTATAATGAGTCATTACACAGTACCAATTGATTTAACTTGCCAGTTATGAGACATCCAATCAATTAGAGACAGCGATATAATCACTCATAAACATACAGTAAATCAAAAAGCCACAATGTAATTGAGTCAATGAGAGACATTAATGCAGAGGTTCTACATCACCATCAACAGGAGAAAACACGGTTTGTTTTCTGTGTGTGTCACACGTGGAAGTGCGTGATGGGTTAGAGCCAGAGTTTGTGATGATTTTCACTGAGGTTGTTGATGCAGCCCCAGATTTACAGTTCACCACAAAGGGAGCATAATTTCTCCTTGATCTTGACAGCCTGACGACAGAGATTTCTAGGAATTGTCCTTCATCTGCTTTGCTATTTGTTTGGCTGTCAGTGATTTAGCTTTTAATATGACCCGTCATGAATGTTTAAGTCCCAAACCAACATACAGAAAGCAGTTTGATATTATTACTTTCAGCAGTAATGAGAAATATACTAATCAAAGAAATTTTGCGATTGCCTCCTTAGTATCACATTACATCGGTTCAAACTAAATCAAGTGTGACTGTGACCAACAACACGGCCTGGTAAAAATGCCTTAAAGAAATGAAATATACAATCCATTAGTGGAAAACTAACAGCAGACTAATTGACTAAATGGCGCCTGACCGGTCTAGACCACTCGTAAATTGGTGAATGCGGCAAGTTATTGTAAATCACTCGCACAAGCCACTTAAGAACAAATATAGGAAGGGTTCTTGCATGAGGTCCATTTTTTGCTGTTCACTCTCCTGCAGACATTTCGGAGCTGTATTAAATTACGGCTGATGCAAACCAAACATTTCCTGTTGCTAAAAGCATTGAACCGGCAAAACATTGGGGGCTTTTATGCTGAAGAAGCCAAAGGACATGTAAAGTAGCTGTCACTGAGGCTAGCACTTATCACTCAAGTAAACAAAACAAGGAAAGCCATTTCCTGCACTTTTCATCTCATGCTTTTTAATATTTTCAACACAGGAATAGAAGAAGAAGCAGAAAAGCAGCTCAATGGAAATATATGTGACAAACAGCACACATCATCATAGCAAACAACTGCTTTTATTAGTTAGTAAAAGCATTAATAAGTTTATTTTTATTCTTTTTATTGTGATTATTTTCATTAGTCAAACGAGGAGGCCATGAATCTTCTCAGCCTGGTTGGTTTAGCTGCTCTGTAAACAGATACACCAGCTCCTCTTTGATCGTAACTGCAAAATTAATCAGGATAGTAATCTTCGATATAATGATAATAGCAGTCATATGCCTTGGACTCACAAATATGATGACTTTAGACTTGATTTGGCGAAATCAAACACTTTGTTTTTTAATTTTTAAGTTTGAAATGGTATTAAATTTGGTGAAGAGCACATTCTGACTTGTTAAGGACTCAAAATTCAAAGTTTAGGACTTGAGATTTGACTTGGGACTCGTCGGTCTTGACTTCAGACTTGAGTGCTAAGACTTGAGAATTACTTGTGACTTGTAAAACAATGACTTGGTCGCACCTCTGGATCATAGTATAGTACTAAAATAGCAATCTTGAGCAATGAAAACGAGTTCTTACCTCTTTCAATATAAAAGGGTTTATCCATTTTTACCACATTTTTAATTCACTAATGTTGAAAGACCTATAAATTATATTTGTCTGCTAAAATTACATTGTTATGAGTTTTTTCTTTGTATTGATTATGACCAGCTCATCTTTTTTTTCAACCTGTATGTGCTTTTCAAGTCTTGATCATGTTTCAGTAATGCTGCCATGATATTGATTTTCAAAACCTTCATTAACATTTTCCTGTTAAGAGGATATTCATTAGCATCTCATGTCATTAAGATCTGTGATTCAGATCACATCTATCACTTGTGGTGTGATGCGTAAAGAATAGTAATATGATCACAGCTTCTCAGGTTAGCAGTGAAAAGCCTCTAAAATGGGCTCTAAAAAGAATCACCGGCCGTTGGAAACATCCTCAGAGAGGCATGAGGAGGAGATGAGCAGTGTGCAGCCTGACACAGAGCCAACTTCTTGTGTAAGAGGTTTAACATGAGTTGGGAGAAAAATCAAACCTCTGACCCTGGAAGACCTCTCACAAATCTGCATCAGTCCCTGTCCACCCCTCGTTATGCTCAGAGCATTTCTGAATGAGGAACTGCGTTAGAGGAACATGATGTCTGTCAGTGTTTATGTTGTAAACATACTAAAGTATTACTTCAAATCAGTATTATTAACCAACAAGATCCCACTTATATTACAAATTCTCTTTTTCAAGGAAAACATGTTCAAGACAAAAACATCTACATGTATCTACCGACAGGACAGGACACACAGTAGTGATTTCTGCGACAACTTCGCCCACTTTCACAGTAGAAGAAGAAGTCAGGTCCTTTGGTTCAGTAAAAGTACCAATGCAACAGTGCAGAACTCCATTTCAAGAAAACGTATTGCAATCAATTTCCAACTTAAGTAAAAGTACATAAGCAAACTGCAGTTACACTGAACAAAATTATAAACGCAACACTTTTGTTTTTGTCCCCATTCATCATGAGCTGAACTCAAAGATCTAAGACTTTCAGGCCTATTTCTCTCAAACACTGTTCACAAATCTGTCAAAATCTGTGTTAGTGAGCACTTCTTCTTTGCTGAGATAATCCATCCACCTCACAGGTGTGACATATCAAGATGCTGATCAGACAGCATGGGTATTGCACAGGTGTGCTTTAGGCTGGCCACAATAAAAGGCCACTCCAAAATGTGCAGTTTAGTCATAAATGTTGTGTGAGTAAAACGTACGATATTTACCCCTGAAAAGAATAATACTGTATATTAAGCAGCAGAAAATGGAAGTTCAAGTACCTCAAATCTGTACTGAGTTTCTTTCGACCACTGTACTTCAACTGTGCATGGAGAAGTTAAATAGTCTTAAAAGTTAAAGGCCTTTGTGGTGTCTTACCCGACAGCACGGTGAAGACGGCGGCAAAGGCGTTGAGTTTGAGTCCGTCAATGACGTTGCTGGAGTGGAAAAGCTCGAGACACATCAGGCTGAAGCCGACCACCAGCAGCAGGATGTAGAGTACCTCAGACACCACCGACAACCACAACACACCTGCAAACACAACACACACATCTCAGTTAAGCAGGCTGTGCTACAGAGGAAACACACATTTACAAAAGACTGAACAGCGTGAAATGACACGTGAGGAGCCTTTCATGAGTTCTCACTTTAAAACGAGTCAGAAACATAAATAACGTCTGCAAGAGAGGAGGAGACCAAGACCAATTTAAGCAACTGATGACTGATTAGAAATGAGAAGCTGCTTATGTTTACTTTTGCGTGAATTCAAAGACATTTCGTAACTAAGTAAGAGTTTTGAATGGTAAATCTCGCTGCCACTGATATCACTGTGAACTGCAAATGTGCCATGTCAGAGTGCAACACTGACTAGTAAAGAAAAATTTGCTGTTTCAGAGTTTTTTTCACTTGAAAATAAACATGAGATGCTCCAAATGTAGAGATATCAAATAATAAACTATAATATGCCACTTTTTCCTCCCCATTAATTGAACTGTACGTTTTCTGAACCCAGGTATAGACGTTTTGGAAAAAACATGACATTCTCAGCTGCACAGCAGGATTTGCAGCAATGTAAATTAATCACTATGTTCAGCATTATGGCTTAGTTTAAAATGTTCTTAAATTAAAATCTTAAATAAAAGTCTGTTTGGAGCTGGCATTGTCAGATGATACACAAAGACTGGGATTGGTGCCAGAAGAGGATATACATCAAACTGACTGCAGCAATGACTTGTGGGAGAGGTTTCTTCTTATTCTGACTACATTTTCCTTTTAGCTCTGAGTCACTTTCTCAGACATGCACACTGATACAGAAGTTCACAAAAAGAAACAGAGTTGGGTTGAAAGAGCTCCTGAACTCTAGAGGTCAGGGTTTTTGAATTGTCAAACATCTGAAGCATTTCCACTTGGCGCTCAGGGAGCAAAAACATGAAGACCTGCTAAAGAACCATGAGGTGAAAATCTCTCTGTAGTGAGAATACAGAGGCCGGATTCAGGGGGCTCATAGTTAGATTGAAGGAGCTCATTTGACCAAACACTCAGCAGTGTGTCAAAGTGAAGACAAAGTAAATATGGAGTGTTTTGTGAGTTACTAAGAGGACTAAACCAAAACAATGCAAGTTTTTTACACCATAGATCACAGCATATAAAGAGAAACAGAAGCAAAAAAATTAACAAAACTTTAACAAAACAACTTTAACAAAACATGACAAACTTCTTAATGCACTGGTGTATAACCAAATTATGCATAATGCTAAAATAAAATGTATGCACAGCCAATGTGTAGCCATGCAGTGGAAAGATGAGCAATCACCTACAACTACTAGATGGACCAATGAAGTAGCATCATGTTTACCAAATGAAAGAATAATGGATAATCTGAAGGGTAAGCCTGGTGAATTTAAAAAGATTTGACATCTCACTCTTTTTATATTATAATTTTTGAATCCGACAGTCATATCAGAAACAGACATGTGTTTTATAGTTGTAATGACTTATACTTTCTTTCTTTTTATCCAATACCCCTGAATCTTTTTGCTCAACTGCTCTATCTATACCACTGTGGTAACTAAATTGCATCACGTTTTGGCTTTTTTAATTTTTTTATTTACACATCTTTGTATTATCATGTACCAATGCTAGCTGCCCATTTTCTCAGACACAGCGGTTGGACCCCAAGGGGTGGGGAGTATGTGGGTGGCTAGGTAGGTAAATGGTGTTGAGAGGGAGGGGTGGGATGATCTGGCATTTATTTCATTTTTATTTACTTTGTGCATTGTTGTGTTTGTGAGATCAATGGTTGTTTTGCTATAAACTAATAAAGATAATGTTGAATCTCAATTATTCAGGTGATATCCAAATGAAAAACTGAAATATATATCTTTGGTAGGAAGAAACGCTGACTGTCGGCACTCTTCTTGACTCTCTGTCTTTAAAAACTAAAATCCAAGTCCTCTGTTCCTGCTTGACTTGTTTGACTGAACTTTAACAGCCACAAATCCGTAAGTCTGGATAATATCATCTTAAAAATAACAAGAATCAGAGTGCCCATGCTTTCCCCAAAACAACTTCATCTCCTTCACAATGTTGCTGATGAGTCCTAACAAAGACTAATAAAAACTGTCAGTGGTGGCTAAACTGAAAATCTTTGTTCAAGTAAAAGTAAAAATTACCATTTGACAAATCTACTCAAGTAAAATTATACGTACTTTGTCAATAAACTACTCAATGTAAAAGTTACTTAGAGTGTGTTGGCCATAGATCTTCATAAACCTTTTTTTTGCTGCAAGTCCAAGGCAAGTCTCACATCTCTTATTGGAATAATTAATGTTTCAGCTGCTGTGCATCAGGTTAGAAATAGTGTTATTTCTATGAAATGGCCTTTGCTTTGCATGTTGATTATGTCTAATTTAGCTATTTCTGTTTAATACAATAATTTTACCAGTTTTGTTCACCTGCATGAAGGTATAAATAAGATCACTTTGAAATATCACACTAGCTAGCTGCCTACTGTTATTTCCTGTATCTGTTATGGACATGCAGCCAGCCAAACCACTTGCTTTGATATGAAGACTGCTTCATTTGATTTAACTTCTCCAAAAGCTCAGGCAGCCAATCCAATATGATTATTCCTAAAAGTAGTAAGAATTAATGTGGCAATAACACGGGAGCCTTTATACAGTAGGAGACCTTTGTGTCAAACGTGAAGCCGCCCATACTTCTCTTCATAGGCTTCTCAAAAATGACTGTTTCCTAAATAAGTAACAGTTATTTTTAATGAATTCACTATCGGGCATTGCTATGAAACAACGCACACAGCTTGGGCAGCACATTTCTTTTAAGGTAGCAAAATAGTTGATAACAGACTACTTGTAATGAAGGTATAAATGGCAAATTTAGCGAAGATAAAATTAGATTGCTGGCCCCAAAAAAGAATTGTAATGTTTTCAAAAGAAAAACGTGAAAAAAACCCTACAAATATATATATACTCCGTTACTTGAATTACAACTCACCCCTGAAAACTGAACACATTAAACCAAATATCAGGTCTCTGCAATGGCTCTCGGTGTGTCACGCATTACTGCTGCTTGTCTATACATTTCACAGTGAATAAAATCTATATCTGACTGTCTTTATCTGTATGAACCCTCTCGGGCTCTCAGGTCATCTGGTAATGAGTGTAACTAAACATGTAACATTAGTTGTGCACCACAGAGCTGGAACAAACTCCCAGATAATATAACTTGACTTATTTTTAATCCAGCATAAAAACTTCTCCTCCAGTTTTGACTTTGAGCACTAACCATTATCCGCCATGCATTTACATATTTACCTTTCAAATACTTATTTCTCTGCCTTTATCTTCTTAATTTCTTTTAAAATGATTTGCAATGTTTATATTTACATTTTAATGATAATTGCAGTATTTACTAAATGTTTAAAAGCACTCTGAACTTCTTTGTGTATGAAATGTGCTCTACAGGTAACTTCCCTTGCCTTTTTTTTTCTAATAAAAAGTCAGTGTTGACCTTCACTCCTGGTCCTTTCAGACGGATGTGGATATTAGACTCCCATTGTTGTTGTATTTTTGTCCTCCAGGCACAAACTGAGGGTGGGGAAGTTGGATCTCTCCATTTATTCTGTCGCCATTCATTCACCCAGTGTTTGGTAACCCAGAAACTCTGATGAATGTTTTGGAGAATGATGATACATCTCTCCGCAACAGGCGAGACATGACACTTAGAGCTCAAAACAAGGTGAAACATTTGTTTCTGATACGCCCACAGGAGGAGGACAAGGTGTATTTGATTTCACCACCTGCTTGTGTGACACAGTGATTTGCTCTTTACTGTGTCGGCGGGGCCCTCTGGTCACACAGAGCTGTACTCCAAGAGGGGGAGAAAAAAATTCCATCAGAGCAGAGAGAGACATTATGCAGGGTGATGAACAAGTTTTACAACCTTCCTGTACTTCTTCACGCTCTGGAAATGTGAACATTTTTAAGGCAGAGCGGAGCTGTCATCCTGCAGTCGAAAGCTGCCCTCGGGATCCACTCTCACTACTGGACCTCTGACTTTTTTCTCTCCACATTTATAATTTCTAAAAGGCAGAAGCTCCTTCTGAATAGCATCAGGCTCATGACCCAGCATTAAACAGGATTATCTGCTCTGCTCCGCTCTGTTGTGGATGTAGATGAGTTGGAAGTGCAATCTCCAGGCCACAGTTTTCAATTTGAACATCAGTGAGTTTGGGCGAGCTACAGGATCCTTGAAGAGCCAAACCTGACAGCTATATTTGTGTCACACTTCTCTCTAGGCAGAAAAAGAGAAAAAGAAAAAAAGAAAAAGAAGAAACAATACAGTGCAGCCAAAATTGTAATTAATATCGATGGCAGAAGAAATGAAGAAATGACTCAGATAAGTCAAGTTGTGTTTAAATTCTGGGAACAGCAGACCAGTGGCAGATAACCAGAAGTATCTTGTGGGGTGATATTAAAAAATTATATATTAATGAATTAGGCTGCATCATTAAAACTTAAAGAAACTTTTTAAAAATCATTTTGATGGCACACTGAGTCGATGCACTATGTAGCATTGGAATCCCAGGAACCCTATCTTGACAACGGTGTAATGCTTTATGGCCCCAACGCAACTCAACATGCAAGCTACAAGAAGTAGCTAAATGTATTTCATGTACAATGGAAGTTCTTTGGAAGAAGCTAGCTCAGTATTTTCAGTATTGATATCACGGCAGAAGCGAAGCGAGGAAGAGAAAAAGTGAGACTGGACAAGAGTAAACAACAGACTGGATTTTATTCAATGGCGGGAGCTGAAAGAGCTGAAAGGATGCAGGACAGATGCCGAGTTGACCTTGCTGTTGGACTAGTCAGTAATAACTTATTGGCCTGCTGCAAAGTTCAACTCGAGCTGAATCGGCCAGATGTTTAGCCGTTAGCCATAAATCAGGGGTTGATGTTAGCTGACTTGGACACACACTCTGCATCAGTAGCTGTCTGTAGGCTAGCTCGCCA